CGAGCAGGCCAGGGCCCGGCTCTGCGGCTGAGGGGGGGGGGGGCGGGAGCCTGGGCGCCCTGGGGGGAGGGGGGCAGCCGCGTTGTTTTCATCCACGCACCCCAGGGCGGCAGCGGGGATCGCTGGGCGGGGGGGGGTCACACACCGGCATCGGGTGTGACCGGCACCGGGCCTCGACTCCACGCCAGCTCCCTGGGGGGCCCAGGTCCAGGGCGGGTCGGGCGCGGCGTGGTGCGGCGCGGCGCGGCGCGGCGCGGCGGCAAATATGAGCGGGACCCCGCCCTCGCCCTCTGGGGGGGGGGGGACGGAGCCCAACACACCGGTCGCTGGCCTTGGCCGCCCGGGCGCATGCAAAAATATATACCCGTGTACACACCGGCAACGAGGATTGCCCCCTCGCTCTCTCCCCCCCCCCGCCCGCCCGCCCGCCCGCCCGCCCGCTCCTCCCATCCTCCTGGCGGGGATTTGAAAAAAACAATGCGACTGCCAGCCAGGTGCGCCCGGTGGGCGTGGCTTGCACGCCGCTCGCCGGGACCCAAGTACCCGCATATGCGGGGCCAGGCCGGGCATGCCCGGCCTGGTGGTGGTAATGGGTGCGATGGTGATGGTGGCGAGACGAGCGCCAGGACCCCGGCACCGCCGGCCGAGACCCAGGTCCCCCTAGTCACGACCGAGAGAGCCATGTTCAGGCGCGGGCTCGCCAGAGAACCAGCAGCCCCCCCCCCCCGCCCCCCCGGCGGAAAGGTGAGAAGGCGGGAGCACCGCGGTGTGTTTGCGACACGCTCGCGGCAGCCGCGGCGCAGCTGTGGCCGGGAGCAGTCTAGACGACCCCCCTGCGGCTGGCGGGGGCCGTGCCTGCCACCGTCTCGCGCGATTCGAGAGCGGGTGCCCCGGCCGGGGGTCGGCCCCGGGCTGGCACCCACAGGCACCCAGCTTCCCCTCCTCCCCCCCCCCCTCCCCGATCCTCGCTGCCTCCCCCTTTCCTCCCTCTCTCTCTCCCCCCCCCCCCGATCGACCCGGCTTCCCCACCCGCACCCCGCGGCTGCTGATTGTTGATCTCCGCGGCCTTCGCCCTCTCCTCGCCCAACGCACGCGCCATGTCCTCCTCGCCCGTCCCCTCCTTCAACCCGGAGTCCTCGCACCCGATCCTGCTGGTGCTTCCCCCCAACGATCGCCAGAACCTCAAGGATGTACGTCTTCCCC